TCTGAACTCCTGAACAAGCCGAAGGCTTAATTAAGTGCCCTCCAAAATAGTTTGCTTAAATGCCTCCCGGTAGGGTAACTTTTTAGCCCATCATATATATATATATATATATATATATATATATATATATATATATATTTGTAAAACATGCCCTACAAGTCCCCTGTGTACCAGCATGTGCCTCCTCATTTCAGATGATGATCTGCTAACCTTGTTGCAAACAACACAGGTATTATCGCGAGGATGATGAGTCAGTTTGGCATAGTTAACTTGCTTTTGGTTGTTATGACGACATTTCAGATTGCTTACATAACCTGCTCTCGACAACAGCATGCCTGCACACAGACCACATTTACAAGACTGCATATTAGTTGGCAAAGCAGAGGGAATTCCTCTTCGGCGATCACGGTGGATATGATCATGCCTTTTAAAAAAGTAATTACTCAAATGATTACATTTTTTAAGCATTTCAATGAATTACAGACAGCGAGAGAAGAGTAAAGAGATGTGTTTGAGGAAAGGATATAGAGAAGGGCTGGGATCAGGATCAAGGCATTAGAAGATGTCGATTGGCATTACCTTTGAATATTTGAAGATTATAGTTATCAGTGAAGCAAATAGGTTGAAGAGAGTTCCACTGTCGAGAAGTGTGAGAGAAGTACCTGCTGGAGTAGAAGAGGCGGTTATATTTAACTGTTTCGACAGTAAAAAGATGGAGTCCAGATGCCAAACTGGTAGCACGCTTAAATTCATGCAGTGGGGTACCAGTGAAAGTAGCTCGTCTGTTGCCATGGAAATACTTGTAGAAAAGACAGAGGGAAGCTACCGCACGTCTATGAGAAAGTGACTGTAGACGAGATGCCAGACAGAACCTCATTTCATATCCGTCTCTGTCGATTTTGTCGAGATGAACAGCGGGGGTACCAGACCATATATAGATTAATACGTATACAGCTTCGAAAATAAAGGGTTTTCTAACACTACTCAGTCATCATATTAATAGACTGCCTATCCTAAACATGTCACGTGGAACTAGAACAGTCTACCCCGGTGAGCGAAATAAAGTGTTCAGTTCGTCATTCCAACCACCTGAAGAAGGCCGGGGCGTATAACGGCCGAAACGTTGTAATAAATATGTCGACAAAGATGAGGACAATAGTCTGAATAATGTAAATAATGTACATAATACCTCATCTCAGAAATATAGACAGATACTGCCGATCCTGTTTCCACATTAATGTAGGGCGGTATTCTCACACGCGTCCGATCTTAAAGATGGCAGATATCATACTGTGATTCATTATTTTTCCCCCATACGACTACTAAGAGAATACAGCGTGAGTTGAACAAGGTAGGGCCAAAGTCACGCACCACAGAGATGTATGGATAGGTCGTGAAGGTCCTGTTGAGTAACCACTGAGGTAATCAATCCTCACACCCTTGGATATTTTAATGTGTAGCCATTTGAAATCAGTTGTTTACCATACTCACCTAAGAAATATTGTGGAACGTAAAGAAAGCATTAAATATGAATGCAGTTGTTGTTAATGAATCAAGCAGACACAGAATTGAAATGAGTTTAGAAAAAGGAGGTCATTTTGTGACACAGACATATAACAATCAAATAACTAACAAATTAAATTTTCATGTGTACTTATACTTTTAATGAATTATCCTCATGGTATGCAACTTCTGCCTCACCGTGTATATTAATTGAACGGTTTAGGCGTCGTTCAAAGAAATTAGAACCCAGATATGAAGAAGGACAAGAGAGATAAAAGAATGGTAATCATTATAAGAAAACATTCGGCATTCATTGATCGAGAAAACTTTGATTCGATTAAACTTTATCAAATCTTTCTCTTAAATCAATTTTTCATGAAAATAAGTTTCGTAAGTCCGCTCTCTGGTATCATTCGTTTTAATATTTATGGGAGTTTCCTTCCGAAAATTTTGTTCGAATTGCAACACATTTTACCATTATATTCTCTTCAACTTACGTTTGCTATTCATTTCAGTTGTTGCTGTGGTTGAAGGTCCTCAAGTGATGTGTTTTTTGTTTGTTTTGTTTTTTGTTTTTATTTATTTATTTATTTGCTTGGTACAGTTGGCGCTGTTTGATACAATTTCTACAGTTCCCTGTATAGAAACGGCTAATATTACCATTACCATTCCTTGTGATTCTGTTCTGCTATTCCAAGATGTTCGATAAAGAATCGTCCTTGCTAACACCTAATGGCTTCATTCCTTCAAAAGCGTGTTTAACAGTTGATCTAAGAAAGCGGTTGCATTGTATGAATTCCATTTGAACGTGTCGACCTGACGAGGTTATTTAAGAACATGACTATAGTTTTCAGCTTAATGTGTTAGTTTTGTGGCATTTTGCAGTGTCAGAGAAAACTACATCTAGCACAGCCTATTCTACGTTCAATTTCCTGATCTCAGATAGATAGATAGATAGATAGATAGATAGATAGATAGATAGATATAATAACGCCATCCATTTTGCTTTTGAGCGCTCGTTAGATAGTCTTTCTATCATCATCATCCAATTTTTCTCCCCAGTTTCCTCCTCACTCTTTTTTATCTGTGTCGCATGAGAGCTTGTATTCACATGTGCATAAACCTATATGTCAAAATCGTCTTTTTTTTTCTTTTAATCCCATCGACTCTAACCTTTCTAGAACAAACTGACCCGACCCTTCGACTCACTCTTTGCCACTCAAACTGCTGCTCCTGATGCCCATTACTATTCTCTACATAATTTGCTTTCATTGGCACTCGATTCGATTATGGAAAATATCTATTTTATATTCTGCCTTTATCAACAGTTCCTTTCTTTCTTTATTTTTTTATTCTGTAATTTTTTTATTTATTTTCTCTTTTCTTCTCGTTTTGTACATATTTTCTTTTTGTCTTTTTACTTCGCTTTCTTTTCTTTTATTCTATGATTTTGTTTTGATGTTTTCTATTTTCGCTTTGTAGATATTTTCTTTCTGTCTCTACTTTGCTTTCTATTTTCTTTCTTTCTTTTTTTCTTTCTTTTATTCTATGATTTTGTTCTTTTGTGTTTTCTTTTTTTTTTCGCTTTTTGTCTCTTTACTTTGCTTTCTTTCATTCTTTTTCTTCATCGACTTGCAATTATCAAATTCTTTTTTTCTTTTACTACCTCTACCCCTTGTCTAACTGACTTGCTTCTCGATAATCTTGAAAATATCGGTATGAACTGTTGCCAAAATCTTACCTTCATTCAGCAACACTTTGTTATATACACGCCATGACTCTTCGGAAGAATTTCCCATATACAGTCAGCTCTCAGGGGCCCTATGCATTATTCAACGGTTAACAAACTAATATGGCCGACTGATGTAGTCATTTATATCGTTACAGTTGCCCAACTAATGTGAATCGTGTCGTACTAAGCACAACTTAGTAAATGAGTGTCTAACGTAACGTGTCAGACAGCAAACACTTCTCAGTGATGAATTCGTTCCTCGTTGGATGTCCTGATGACTGCCTTTCTGTATCAAAATGATCAAACCATTTTTTTAGGCGATCATGTCTCTCCACACATTTTGATTTATTATCTGGTAATTGCGATCCCTTCTTGGGAAAATAAGATTATGTTTTCCCATTACTTGTTACACTGTTTGGAATTCAGAACGTTTTAGATTGGTTACCTTCCAAGTCTTGACGGTCCAGTCAATCCTGTTATTTAAAGTATAACTAGGGGAATGGCAGTCAGTTTCGTACCTTTGCCCAAGGGTACGTGTGTCAAAAGGAACGGAAGAGACTACATTGCAATTTTAAATTGATTCGCCGATTCCACTTACAGCACCGATGTCCGTTACACTACCTGCACGTCGAAGCCTGTTATGTAACTCATATTATTGCTTCTTTATACATCTCGTAATGCCAACTCTCTGAGTTGAATTTAGGAATGATTGTAAACATAAATAGTATGATATTTTTTTTACTGAATATTGATACTGGTTTCAGGATTTCTATACCCTTTACGAGCAGAAGATTAAAACTGATTAATTTTAAAGTTCAAAAGCAAAAGTACAACACAGACGTGTTATAGACTATAATGTTCAATGATTTTCTTAGGAGGAGAAAAAAGGAAAAGGCAGGGGATTTTGCGAATCAAAATGTTTTCATAATTCTACAAAATTGTTTTTACATCCTCAACACTGCCATATATGTTTTAACCTGTTTACTTAAATAAGGCTCTGTTTTAACAATACAAAACTGTTTACTTAAATAAAACTCCGTTTTAACAAAACAAAACTGCCTACATAAATAAGGCTCCGTTTTAACAATACAAAACTGTTTACTTAAAATACAATACAATATACAATTACAATACAAAATTCTTTTAAGAGGCTAATTTATATTGTGTGCCCTCCCTTTCGATGATGGAAAAAGAATCAGAATTTATACAGTAATAAAAACGGCCAAGAATGTTAAAAGAAAAGTAAAATTAAATAAAAGACAGTAAACTAGAAATACTGCAACTACGGAAGCATATTATCTGTTTATAAAGATACACCCGTCTGAATATATTATTGAAATGCTATTATTTTCTTTTTCATGTTTCCTTTTAAGATTGTATGAACAATAATTTTATTTTCCTCTACGAGTGAAGCGCGCTAATCGGTTAGCACATAGAGTTTTTATTTTCTTTTGCTTCTTTCTCTCACCCCAATTTTTTTATTATTTTCGTAGCAACTACCATCGTTGAAATGTTTCCACTTTGATTTTTTTATTATGTCCAGTTTTTTTTTTATTTCTCTAATAAAAATGTTTTACCACTAACATCTTCAATCAAAATTACATTTTGTTTACACTGATCGTTATTGAACAAATGTTTGAGATATTTCATCAACTTCCACAACGTTATTCAGAAAAGGAGCTCACACAAAAGATTTAGAAACAGCAGGAGTATAGCGTGATAATGGCGTCCATAATCACATGAGTGTTTTCGCAAATCTTTCCTATCAAATGATAATGCAAAGGACTATAAAACTGTTCAGTTATTATCATTAGAATGAACTTTAGAACAAGTAGGAAGGATTAACAAATGCAAGTGGTTCACCTGCCCAATGAGTAAGTGATGATAAAAAAAATTTAAAAAAATGTACTCAGTAATTCAATGGCGACTGCTCAATATTCAAAGATAGGAAATTTGCAGATGCAAATTTCCTGTTCCGCCTATAAGACTATATCACTAAATCAGGTTTCTTTTTCTAGAATTAACATTAAATTTACTAAGTCACCAGTAGCTTTTTTCCATAAACATTTGCTAACCCCCTGTGTACGCGGTCTGATCAAAAAGTATCGGGACTGCTGTTATGATAACATAACTAAAGTATGCAGAGTAAAGCTGCTTGACACAGATTGACCTTGAACTCTGTCGAATATCTGCACGAAGCTATAACATTCTCGCTCACTTCCGTTGAAAGTGCGTGGAAGGAAAGTGTGTAAAGTGTGGTTGTCACACCACACCACAGAGTCTCCATCAGTGACCATGGCTTGTGCAGCAGTTTTTGGCTAAATACATTCCCCTCTCCCGACGACCACCATATTCTCCCTCTGATCACATGTTTTCAATTATAATATATATGAATATATTAGATATCTCCAATAATTCGCTGAAACAGAGCATGATAAGAAGGCTTTATAAAACAAAGTTTTATCGTTAAAATGTTTGCTATTATTAAGAGGAAAGGACAAAGTATTTTTATAGTTTTACTAATTTTTTAAGTCTTTCTAGCACGTTCCAAATTTTAGTTAAAAATTTTGTTTTTCTTGCGACACAGCAAGCATTAGTTTTTGTAAATTTAAAGCATATTTTCTGTTAAAAAACTGTGGTGAACAATTACGTAGAAGCAAACAAGTCAGAGTGAGTTGTATCTGGTGCAAAGGAAAATAAGTTTCTTATCTCAATACACGACACATAGCAGCGGCATTTTGTTCTTGGAAATGGCATGAATCTCCCCTCAGGTTAGATTATTCCAAAAGTATATTCTGTAACGCTGGCTTTTGTACAGCTGAGCGTCGTTCGACTAATAGTAAGTCGCGTGCTGATTGGTCGGACTGGAGGATGCCATTTGGCTGGGTAACTGAGGACAAAAACGAAGAACGCCAATTGGTCAGTGGGTCGTGGTGTTGGTATGATAAAAGAGGGCCAAAGCAGTAAGAAGGATCGCGATCTTTACGTTAGTGACGTGTACGGCAAGTCAAGAACGGCGGATTGTAAAAGAAGTATTTCCTGTTGTACGAGCGACGTCAGACGAACATAAGCTCATTTACGCCACACACACCAAGCAAGATAATAAAACCACCAACACGTCAGGAGTTACTGAGTGTTAGAGAATAAGAAAAATAAAAACATTATTAAGGCGAGAGAACAATAAAAGAACAAGAATTAAGAAGACAGAAGATAACGATTGACATTGCATTTAAACACAGGCTCATTTACACTATAAAAATACATTGATTTGACGGATTTTAATGATACTTCCAGAAGTTATTCACAAATAAATTACATTGTTTTTTTTAATTTTTCTTTTAGAAAATTTTGGTAGAAATATAGATAGATAGATAGATAGATAGATAGATAGATAGATAGATAGATAGATAATTTTTATTTATCAAATTATGTCTGAGGATGTTTTGACGAATACGCTTAAAATTAAATAGGAACTGCTTATCTGCCCCTATGAGGAATACATCTTTATAACAGGTAGAATTTATGTCAACATGGTCACCATCGGAAAAAAAACCCTCTCATTACTAAAAATCACTATCATCACCTCGAAATAAAAACAATTAGAAATTAAGATTGGGATATTCAATTAGCAAAAGGCTAACTATTTCACTGAAATTATTCAGTAATCAATACGTTAAGCGCAATGTTCAGTATCTGTCTATTCTTCTGAGATGAGGTATCATGTACACTATTTAAATTGTTCGGGCTATCACCCTCATCTTTATATTTATCACAAAGTTTCGTTGTTCGCTCCGGCCTTCTCCAGGTGGTTGGAATGTCGAACTGAACCCTTTATTACGCTCGCTGGGGTAGACTGTTCTTGTCTAATGTTAATTCCCCTCTCCAAGTTCTACACCGCCTTCACCAGGTATTGAACTCTTTAGGTCCTGTCACTGGATCTAACTAACGCCTTCATCCACTGTGCCACGTGTCCTTGACGACATTTGTGTATGAATTTCTGGGACTTATAAACCTAATGACTTCAGCCACCATTTTTACCAGTGCTCATATTGCAATTTTTGCTGTTATCATTGCATGTTTTTACCAGAGTTCAGTCCGAACAATGTAAATAGTATCTAATGTTAGCAACCAATTATTTTATGTTGCGTTCCAAACCTATTCGTCTTTACGATTACACATCCACTCTTGTGCAAATTAATTGAAACAAAACGAATAATTCCATTGTTATTTACTTTTTTCGAATTTTTGCAATGAAGCATGACCCA